CGAGGCCGGCTGGTGGACCTGACCTCGCAGCTCTGGCGTTCCACCGCCGCCTCGCCCCCCGGCTTTAAAGTAGCGCGGCGGTTCCCCGCCCATTCCGCTTCCACACTTTCGGGCCCGCCCCCGGTCTCAGTCTCCACCCCTGGCCTCTGGGTGGTGTGGCCGGGTGGCTTCCACGCTCCCCACGCCGCCCGCGCCCCTGGGCTCAGACCTGCCCTCTGAGCAGAGGGTGGTGGTCAGGCTGTCCCCTCCAGAGGGGGCCTTAACTGGGGACCCAGTCCTGGGTTTCAGGGACCGCCCCCTTGGATTCTGACTTTCCGCCTCTCCTCAGCCCCGCCCCAGGACTCAGGCCCCGCCCCCAGCCCGAGGGTCCACTCTAGCCTCAGAGCCGGGTGGTAACTGAGGATCCAGCCTTAGCCTCAGGTCTTGGGCTTCTCCACCCTCTCCGTGCTCCACCACCTGGCCTCAGTGTAGAGGCTCAGGCACTGTCTGCTTGCCTAGAGCCTCTTCGGCCTGCCCCTGGTCTCAGGGTAGAATGGTCAGGCCTTTTCCATCTCCTCCGCCCCCGCCGCAGGTCCCTCTCCTCTACACGCACACTTCCTGCCCCTGCCCCTGCCCCTGCCCCTGCCCCTGCTCCGCCCCCGCCCCCGCCTGCCGCACCGGTCTTGAGCACTAGCAGGTGCAACGCGTCGTCCTGCAGGTAGGAGGCGGCGGCGATCTCGTGCGTAGGAATTCGCAGGATGAGCTCTTCGTTGTCGCGCCAGGTGAGCAGCAGGCAGCGGGCAGACAGGCTCAGGATGCTGTCCTGCTCCGCCGTGGTCTTCAGCGGCAGCTCCTTCAGCTGCTGCAGGGAGGGGCAGATTTCGAGTTCCCGGGGTCCGCAGGTAGAAGAGGGAGAAGGGGACGAGATCCTGCCCTCCTTCCTCCCCAGAGTCTCACCCTGGCGGTGTCTAGCAGCTGCAGGAGCTCGTCCCGACTGGAGGGGTTCAGTGAGGAAGTCACCCAGGTAAGGTGGCCCAGGAACTGTATGGAAATCGTGGTGAGAGAGGGACACAGAGAGGTCACCCTGAAACCTTGAAGAACCCTGGCCTTCTCATTGATGCAGTGCGGATAGATTGAGATAGAAATACATGAATTAATATAACCTGATAATAACTTTTACTGAGCCCATAATAGAAGCCAGGCACAGTTCTGAGCGCTGTCTATATATTCACTCCTTCACTCTTGCTTTAAGGATGACAAAAACCAAGGCAGAGTGTGGCTAACTAAACAACTTGCCCAGGATTAGGTAGCTAGAGAGGATCAAACTGGGATCCACATGCCAGAACCCACACTCTCAACTGCTGGCTTATATTGCCTTAACACATAGTCATCTAGCTATCAGATTCCATAGGGAAGCAAAAGTTGTTATAATAGCTTGAAAGAACTGACCACCTGTAAATTTCCTCTGGCCTGAGTGGCTCTCT